TTTTGCAATAGTTTATAATCAAGGTCAATTTAGTAATTAATTATTAAATAAGGGCTAGTGGTCAAAAAGCCCGAAGCTAAGTCCAAGATCACATCAGAAAATATATTTAGGATTGTGAACAATATGTAAAGGTGTATACTAGATAGCATTGCATGAGCTCAAGTCATTCATATCTTTGCATAATCATAAAGTTCTTGAAAATCCTGGTTTAATAATTCAAAATAACATCAAAAGGTTTTTAACATGATCTAAGGACACAAACAGCCTTGCCAACGTATATACACATGTTCACACTCTTGAAAATCCATTTGAACTTGAAAAAATGCATCTTGAACACTAAGCATTGAAAAATGACAAATTGAATGGTTTAATATGTCAAAATTGGTTTGGAAATGTAACACCCCGTGTATACCCGGTTTGTTAACATGTCATCGTATTAAGCCACGCTTAATTAAAAATGCGGAATATTCTTTTTCTTTTCAAATATGACATCATTATCATTACCAAGTTGAATTACTAAATTCATTTCCAAAACATTGCCTGTATGTAAATGCAAAAGACAGATATCTATACTGAATAACCTCATATCATAAATAAGATCATTAACTGAGTCTCTAGTCACGACACTACAACACGTAAGCCAGACAACCCTGATAGTTTATACAACTCAAATCTAAACAACGATACATAATCGAATGTGGCATGGACAATTCCCATGCTGACCAAATAAGGCAACAAGGCTCAACAAAGTCTCAATTCAATAACATAACATGAAACTAAAAGCATAATAGCAACAGGCATAATCCAGCATCCAACATAAGCAGCAAAACAACATATAAATCAGCTAAGCTCCGGCCTCCTACCGCTAGATGTCTCAACCTCCGCATTACCTGAACCTGAAATATGTGCCCCAAACATGGGGCGAGATCTCTAAACAAAAATCTCAGTAAGACAAGGGGTCCTCAAGGATCTTCCACCCCAAGCTCACTTACATGTGCAATATAAGTTCTAAAAGCAGTAATTCAATATCAGTTCCAAAATCAGTGCAATGCAGCAAATAATCATGTCATGTGTGTTATAACTAATCTACTACCCAGAGAAATACAGGAATACGTCTATTACCCACACTAGTGCAAGACGCCACTTGCACCCACCCATAGTGTCACCGTCTTGTATGACGTCACATACTCAGGATTAGCGTCTAAGTGGAACAACACATACATATTATAAGTCATTGCACATAAAGCTCAATATCATTTTCAATTATCAAAGCATGTAAACACATCATGCATATAAACCATCCCCCCATGGGGTATGGTGGAACCACACAATGGCTAAACCGAGGACACGAAAGCTTACCTTACAAGCTAGCTATCCAAGCCAAAAGTCCACACAAGCTCAAGTCTAAACACAGTAGAATCACAATCTGTTTTGGACCAGCAATCATATCAACAACCATAGCTCATAAGCATATACATAAAGACAACGCTTCTCTTTTACGTTTCATGTCTTAAGGCTTCTCACAAAGCCACAAGCCCTTAATCACTCGATTCTGACTTAGATACGTTATTACAGAAGTCCCACTTCATCAATCTAGGGTCCACAAACCCATAACACCATTCTGTATGAACAGTACCATTACTGTTCACGCAAACCCAGAATATCCGGATATATGTCGGGGCCATATTCGGATATCAATATTCGGATATCATATCCGGATATGCATATCCGGATATCTACAGAGCCCATATCCGGATACCAATATCCGGATATTTCGCGACAGAATGCAGTTTCTGCATTTCGCGAGATATCACTTCCAAGGTTCCATTTTTAACACTTCTAAACGTTAAAGCATGCATCTTTAAACCCCTCTAGGTCAGTTATCACATTGGTTACTTATTTATCTCATTAAACATGCCAAGACTCCACTTTTACTCATTAAACTCATGATCAAAGTGATGGTGAAACTTACCCAAGCTAAAACCAGAGCAACAATGGCTCTTGGAGCTCTCACAACAGCTCCTCAAGTCTTACTTCACAAGGCAAACGAAAATGGCACCCCAAAAGTTGGTCCTTTGCACCCAAAGATGGCTCTTTGAAGCTCAAAGAGTGATCACCCAAGGCTCTCACAACACTACTACAAAGTCAGCACCTAGACTCCACCAAAACAATAACTAGAACTCAGAAATGGTGGTTCTTTTCCCCACACAATGCAAGCTCACACAAGGCCAAGGTATTTTGTGAAGAAACTATGAGCAAAGGTGCTCACTTTGGCTCACCAAGTGGAGAAGAAGGGGTGGCAAGGTGGCTGGAGATGTTTCTGAAAAATGGAGGCACGTAGGGTTGTGATTCCAGACCTAGGATCATGTGCCTCTTAATATTTATAGCCGGTTTAAACTTAATCACACAGTATTAGCACTAATAGCTACGCTTAGTATTTTAATCCCAAACTTAGGATTCTGAACCTACTCATTTTTCTAAGATTTTTCATATTTTTATTTTATTTTTCGCAGCACCTTTCTGGTACGCGCTTTTCCATAGCCAGTATCAGTTCTGACACCAGTTCTCATTATTTTAACTTGAAACTTGTTATACAAGTCCTATATATTATTCTAGTGACATATACACGCTTTTCATAATTTTCCAGGATACTTCATCAGTACGCATTTATACCGAGTAGCAGAACCGGTATCTGCACTTTTCGTCAGAAAAGCGACTTTCAGCATTATTAATCACTTACCATATTTATTTAAGCCATATCATAATTATTAGGGTCAATTATAGAATTATTTTCTAATTCTCATATTTATTTAATTAATTTCCTAAATTAACGGTGCAGGTTCTTATAGGAAAGATATTTACATGACTTAAATACATAGAAATAGTTTCCATACCCAATTACATATGACCAAAATGATAGAAGCCATTTTGTATGGAAAGAACTCAAGATTTCGTGTGAAAGAGCTGCTGCCATGAAATATTCGGATATTGGATTTTTAATATTCATATATCAATATCCGGATATAGCCCCGAAAAATATCCGGATATGTACAGTGTCCAACCGCTATAAACGACTAGTTTTTGTTGGAAATGTCATTATATATACTTGTAGCTACAGTAATCAATGTTAGACAAATATAGATCAATTTTTGAACCATTATTATTCCTTCTAACTAATTATTGCTCATTGATTACATACTTTGATAATCTTGAGCTCATCTTTGATTAAAAGCTATACATTTATTAGTTCTTCAACTTGTATAATTTGTACTTCGAGAGTACTTAGTCATTGTTAAACACATCCATTTGATTTCTTGAATTGAGAGGGGAGTGAACCCTTTATATTTGAGAGGATACCGAATTCCTAAGCAAATTTGGAGTGAAATGTAAAGGAATCCAAGAGCCTGAAGTCTTGAAAGATTATAGTGGTTTATCAAGAACCCTTGAAGCGTGATGGTTAGTGAAAAGGATTGATCAAGCAACTTCAGTCTGGACATAGGTCATGGTGATTCTGACTAAACCAGGATACATCTAGTTTGTAATTTCTGTAACCTTGAACTCTTTACTTTTGTCTTGAAATCGCATTTTTAGATTGTGGTTATTTATTTACTAGCTTGTATTTATTGATCAGACACTAGTACCTGCACTTAGAATTTTTCTCGTTAAATCATTTAATTGGAGAAATACTCTTCAAAATATCAAAGGAGAATTTTTAGATTGTTAAACAATGAAGTGTCCCTTCGTTTTCAGACGTAAACTAATCGGGCTCAATTGTGCCACAATAATTGTCCTTATACAGTGGAGGAGAAAGAGAAGTAAATTATAGAAAATTTTGTTGAAAAATTAATTAATTAAAAAAAATTATAAAAAAATATGGAAGTGTCTTATCGTTTTCAGATTTAACTATTATCTTCCCTTCATCCATTCTAATTCCTACAGTATTCAAAGAAATTTTTCAAAGGTTGAAATAAGTTAATTTGTCTTAATTGTTGAATTATTTTACAAAGTTTGCTATTTCACTATGTTGCATAATATACATACTATTTATTTAGTTTTATTTTATACTTTTTACTTATTACCATTCCATACGGAGATACGGTCATAGACTAGTATATATATACAGCTGAGTTTTGCAAACTAGGTATGGGAGGCCTGCTTCAGGCAAGGATGTGCATGGGTCGAACCGAATTGAATTTTTTGAAAAATTGAACCGAATTGGTTTAAATGGTTCGGTTCGATTCAAAAGTGGTTCGGTTCAAAAGTGGTTCGGTTAGGTTGGAAATTGTTCGGTTCGGTTCAGAACCAGTTCGGGTTGATCCTATTTTGAAAAGAAAAATAATTAAAAAATTTAAAAAATAAAGTTATAAAAATCAATTTGGTTCGGTTTGAAAACGGTTCGGTTCGGTTCGGTTCTTTAAAAATAGGTTCGGTTCTTTAAAAATCGGTTCAGTTCATTAACTGATTTTTAAAAGTCAATTATTTTAAGGACGATTCGATTCGGTTCGGTTCGGTTCATGATTCAGTTTAATTTTTTGGTTATTTTACGTACCTTGATTTCACGCCATACAGGCCTTGGTGAGGCGACACACAGCAGTGACTTGTTACCAACAACAAAGCCTTGGGGGCTGCTCCATTAATACCTCTTCAGTTACGTCTCCATTTAGAAACACATTATTGACGTCAACTTGATGAACAGGCCACTGTTTTTCTCATTAAAATGTGATGACACGTATATAAATCATTGACTACTTTAGTCATGAACTACAAATTGGCGAAGGAGCTGATATTTTCAATTTAATAAAAAATATAATTTTTTATTCAATTATATCTTATACTTCATTAATAAGTTTGACTATATTAACAACTACATAAATGTCAAGTCATCAATGACGTAACATGTACTTGAACGTAGAACTTTTTTATATCACAAGCTTCACACATTCGCTTCTCTAACTCTCTGAATATCAATTTAGCTATCACAGTTTCATTGCAAAATGCAAATGGCAGGGTATAGGTTTTTCGGCCTTTTGCTTTTGATGATAGCGATGTTGTTTCTTAGGTCGTCATCATCATCTCAAGCAATAGCAATGAAATTTGATGTTGATGGCAAAGATGAATGGGTGGTGAAACCTTCCGAAGATTACAATTATTGGGCTCAAAGAAACAAGTTTCATGTCAATGATATTCTCTGTGAGTCCAATATTAACTTAATATAATATTTATATTGATTTTATTTTATTCTTACATAAAAATAATGATACATAAAGAGTTATTATATTGTTATTTTATTTTGGATACATGCAGATTTCAAGTATAAGAAAGAAAATGATTCGATTCTTGTGGTGAAGAAGGATGACTACTATTCGTGTAACGTCAATAATCCCATGCATAAGATGGACGATGGGGATTCAACATTTCATCTCAACAAATTGGGTTATTTTTTCTTCATCAGTGGCAACGTTGACAGTTGCAAAAAGGGTCAAAAGCTGATCGTCCAAGTCATTGCCGTCAAAAACCGACTTCATCAGGCTGAGCCACCGTCCGAGTCACCAGAAAGTGCCCTGCCACCTCAACAAATTCACTCTTCCGATTTGGCTTCTTCCAAAGTTTATGTCTCAGCAAGGCTTCAAGGCTCAGTTGGTGTGGGTGAGTTTACGGTTTTTTTATTTTATTTTATTTTTTTATTATTAATTCTAATAATTTAAAAATAATATTACTAGATAAATACTAATAAAATTACGTAATATATAAATATTTATATATTAATGTTATTATTTAAATTAATAATTAGAGTTGAATTCCTTTATAAGACAAGTTATTACTGGTGGAATAATCCATTCAGATTAAAGATATGTTATAGTTATACAGTTTAAGGAAGCCTAGCCGGATTTCTGTGCTAATAGGTTTTGCTATTTAAATTGTGATCATATTTTTTTTTTTCATATTTTGGTTATGATATAAAAGTTGTTATATGTAATTCATGTTTTACAAAAATATATATTAAAATATTAGCTTGATACCACTAATCTTAATATTAATATTAAAGAAATTATATTAAAATATTGCCTCGAAGTCAGTTTTATTTATATAATCGAATATATAATTTAATTTTGTACTAGAAATATTGTAAGCGTGATGACGGAAATAAATTCAAGTTTATTATATTATTATAATAATATTTAAATTGATATTATTTTAAGTTTTATAACTTTATTCTCTCTCGTTATTAATGTTAGCATTCAATTATCTCTATATTTCCTTACTAAATTAGATTATTTTGTTTAAAATAAAATATTGTTACCATATATGTTCCTTTTGAAGTTATTGTTTTGAGAAAGAGAAGATTGAGTTTTAGCTCAAAAATAAAAAGTGGAGATTCCCTTTCTTTTTTGTTCCTTATTCTTATCAAACAGATAATATACAATGAATACAATATTTACATTTTTTTCTAATCCCACCTAAACTTTTTATGTGTCCAAAAAAAATGTTAACCATTATTTTTCTAAGAAAAATGGAGATTAGAATTTGAAGGTTGAATCTTCATCAAATTACTTGGAAATTTTATGTGTTGTTTTGGTTCTGGCTTCATTTAATAAAACTGAATTCATGATCTTTTAAGTTTTATTTTCAATGCAAAATTAACAAAAGTAATAAGGTGAAAAATGATATTTTGTGTTCTTACTTCTTAGTGTGCTTATTAAAAAGAAAAAGGAAAACACTGGCGCGCGTGTTGGGTAAGTAAAACTTAATTAGTAATGTTTACCAACAAAAAAAAAAACTTAATTAGTAACAATTTTTTTATATATGAATTTCCAATGTGATTTTTTATAAATTTTTGAAAGCGTAATTTTTGTGGATGTCAAGATCAATAAGACTTTTGTAGGTATATATTGGTAGTTAATTTAAAAATCTATCATATCAATGATATGCTGAAATTTTACAAAATAAAGCAAGGAACCATACGTATAAAATTGTAAACTTTGTTCTCATTGCATTTATAGGTGCAGCAACAGGTTTTGAGGATGAAACGTTGGTCTGCCTTGGGCCTTGCAATACAATTTTAAAATGCTACCAACAATGCATGAAAAAAAAGTATAAGGGGTCTTCCTGTCAGCCTCGAAAAGGGTTTGACTATACGTGCTGCTGCAATAAGGATTGAGATATATTGTACCCATAGTTATGAAACTAAAATAAAGCACATACCAAAACTATTCTTTGGTCATGATTGTAAAGTATATCACATAATAAAGCATAAATGGTTCTCTATTGATTCAAACACTTTATCTACGGTATAGGGATAGAAAAAGAGGAAACAACCCGAAGATTTTACATATTTTTTTATTATTATTAATGAGTCAAATTCTACGAGATGAAACATATAATATTGGGTCTCAAACTTTGTCTGATTGTGACGATAACAAATAAATGAAATTATTTTATTTAACAGAGTTATTCATATTTTTAAAAGTGTGTTGCAGGGTCTAACAAGTGATAATTTATATATAAAAAAAATACAATAATCAAAGAATGATTAAAAGTTAGAGTTTAAACTCTAAGAGTATAATGAAGTCACGAATTAAGACTGAAGAACAATTAAATAAATCCTGAATAATGCAGAGGGTTGATTAGATGAATTTTGTTATTACTTTGATTATGATACATAGTTCCGTAATCTAGTTTGTAAATTTATAAAAGGATTTCTCCAATTGAGATGTGGGTCTTTGTTATTTTTGTTGTGGTTGGGATTCAACACATTTTGACTCCTCCATGAAAAATGAGGGTGATCCCTAAAGCTTGGATTATAGGTGTTGCCTTAAGGATGGTAGCTTCCCTTTTGTGGATTTCCCACATTGTTGACTTGGTATGAAGCTGATGTAAAATTTGGTTCAGTGCGTGTTCTTTCTCCAGCGATTGTGTTACGGATTCAAGAATTTGTAAAGGATAAAAGAGAGAAACTAAAGAAACTAACACAAAAACTTCATTATTTAGATATCCTTCTTTGTACATCAAGCTCCCTTTTATATCAGACTACACACAAGTCTACCTACACACTACCCAGGCTTCTGAGTAACTAACTCCTAACGTAATAGGCTCAACCAACTCTCTAACAACCCTCCTTATTTCATGCCACAGCTCTAACTGTATTTCCTCTAGCATGTGACTTATGCAATTTCCAACTAATTACTTACAGAGACACATAACTCCATAATTGCGTTCACGTTCCGTAACATCACTCATCCCTTCAAAAGGGACCTTGTCCTCAAGGTCCAAAACAATGAAAACTCTCTCAGCCATACCCAACGGGCGAAGGTTGTAACACCCCATGTTAACCCGGTTTGTTAACATGTCATCGTATTAAGCCACGCTTAATTAAAATTGCGGAATATTTTTTTTTCTCAATCATGACGTCATTATCATTACCAAGTTGAATTACTTAATTCATTTTCAAAATATTGCCTATATGTAATTTGCAAAAGATAGCTAACTGAAATACCTCTATAGATAAAATAAGTGAGTGTATCTAAATAACGGAACTACAACACGTAGTCCAGACCATAATCCTGATTTATTAATACAACTCGAAACTAAAAAGGACATCGACAATCAATGTGGCATGGACAATCCTCATGCTCACCAACTAAGGCAACATGGCCCAACAGAGTCTCAAACCAAATAACATAACAATAATATAAAGCATGTCAGCATCTATAGCATATCATCATACACAACATATTTCTCAGCTAAGCTCCGGCCTCCTGCCGCTAGAGGTCTCAACCTCAGCATTACCTGAACCTGAAATGTGTGCCCCAAACGTGGGGTGAGATCTCTAAAAAGAAATCTTAGTAAGAGAAGGGGTCCTCAAGGACTCTTCCGCCCCAAGCTCACTTACAAGTATAACATAAGTTCAAAAGCAGTAATTTCAATGCATGTTCATGTTAAGGCATTTATATCATGACAGTATAATTTCTTGCTCAACGAGCTAAATACTACAACTCATTAATCATGTGATGTATGTAGATGCGGTTCGACTGGCCAGGGAACAAGATAGGGATTATGCACGTATGCGACCCATCTAAACATAAGAATCGTAGTCTTATGCCTTACACACCAGAGTCGCAGTCTGATTGTGTATGTAATCAACAGACATATTCACATATCTCAGGCATATATCAATGCATATAATATTTTCATAAAAACATACCATGCATATAAACCAACCTCCTTGGAGGTCGGTGGAACAAACAACAGATCAATCTGAGGACGCGAACGCTTACCTTGCAAGCTAGCTATCCAAAACAAGAGTCCACACAAGCTCAAAGTCCACAAACAGCAAGATCACAATCTGTTTGGACCAATAATCACATCAATATTCATACTCTACACGCACATGACATAAAGACAATGTCTTTCCTTTACGTTTCATGTCTTTAGGCTTCTCACAAAGCCACAAGCCCTTAATCACTTAGATTCTGACTTAGTTTAATTATTACAAAGGCTCAACTTAGCCAATCTAGGGTCCACAAACCCCAAACATCATTCTGTATGAATAGTGCAGCTACTGTTCTTCGAAAATTCAGAATATTTGGATATATGTCGGGGCCATATCCAGATATCCATATTCGAATATCACAAGATCCCATATTCGGATATCAATATCCGGATATCCATATCCGGATATCAATATCCGGATATCCATATCCGGATATTTCGTGACAGAATGCAGTTTTTGCATTTCGCGAGATATCACTTCAAAGGTTGGGTTTTTAAACCATTCCAATGTTAAAGCATGCATATTTATTCTGTTTTAAGTTCATATACAGATTACCTACTTGTTTAACTCATTAACATGCCAAGAATTCACCTTTACACCAAGAAAACTCATGATCAAGGTTGGGGAAGTTTACCCAAGGTTCAAAACTTAGAAAAGGTTTCTCTTGGAGCTCACCACACAATTGCAAGCTTATTTCTCCCAAGGCACACGAAAATGACAAGCAAGGAAGGTTCTTTTTCACCAAAGGTGGCTCCTTGAAGCTCAACAAACAAGGAACAAAGGCTTCCCAACACTCAAACCACCAAGTCAGCCCCCTACACCTCACACTCAGAAGCTGGAACTCAGAAAAGGGAAGTCTCACCCACTCACAAGACCACTTCACACTAATTCAAAGTGCAAAGGTGAAAGTTTAAAGGAAGAAAAGGTCTTTTTGCTCACAAAAATGGAGGAGAAGAGAAGGTGACAAGCTTGGGAGGCAACCAGCTTCAGAAAGGAGGCACAACATGCAATAAAATCTGACCTAGGGACATGTGCCCTCAAATTTATAGGGGTATCAATTTTAATCACACTGTATTAGCGCTAATAGCTAAGCTTAGCATTTTAATCCCAAACTTAGGATTTTGAACCTACTCATTTTTCTAAGATTTATCATATTTTTATTTTATTTTTCGCAGCACCTTTCCGGTACGCGCTTTTCCATAGCCAGTATCAGTTCTGGCACCAGTTCTCATTATTTTAACTTGAAACTTGTTTTACAAGTCCTATATATTATTCTAGTGACATATACACACTTTTCATAATTTTTCGGGATACTTTACCGATACTCATTTATACCGAGTAGCAGAACCGATATCTGCACTTTTCGTCCGAAAAGCGACTTTCAGCATTATTACTCACTTACTATAATCATTAAAGCCTCATAATAATTATTAGGGTCAATTATGGAATTACTTCCTAATTTCTCTTAATTAATTAATTAACTTCCTTAATTAACGGTGCGGGTTCTTACAAAGTTAGCAGGTTAAGCCTTGTGTTGAAGCACCTGCAACTAAACATATGGAAATCTAAATGGCCAACGCCTCCTGGGTCCCAAGTAAAACTCAGAAGAACATGGTGAATGACATTCCAATTACTCTCAATTGCATGTTGCGTTGAACCAAAAAAAAGTCTACAAATGCACTCTGTGACGAACGAAAAATAAAAGTACAAACAGGGATGCCTCTTGGCTGAGTTGATGCACCAAAAACTAATTTTACAGCCACATTTCCCCTAGTGTCAACAATGGGGTACAAGATTTGCGCAGCAGCCTTGTGTGCACCTGGTACATTGTCGTACTTGAGAGGAGAATTCTCCATGGGAATGAACATGAATGCAAAACGCGGATCTGCATCAATGCTCTCAATGGACTTCAACAGCGGACGCGGACCAACTGAAGTTGTCCTTCCGTGGTGTAATGAAGCAAACTCTATTTGCATTAAAGAAATTGAAGATCCTGCAAAGTCAGAGCTATGTTGTTTTTCTGGAAAAAGAAAATGAACAAGAAGTTGAATCTTTATCGATGAAAATGAACTGTAATAGCGGATGCAGACCAACTACTTCAGTCCTTTCATCGTTGCTTGTGGTTGAACGAAGTGGGGAAATTTTGGAAGCACCAAGAACAGCTGTAGTGAGATTCCAAGGGTCATTGTGATCAGCACAATGAGGATTCAAAGACGATGCAGTATCAACATTGGAGTGAAACACAAGTCCACGAAAATTAGGATCTCGAAAATGATCATCAATTGCAAGCACCATGGTGTTGAGTTGCTGCAACTGATTCACTATCATAGACATATGATTCTAGGAATCAGCCAACCTTGATTCCACCGTTAACAACTGCGCTTGATTGTCATCGAGGCGAGAATCAATACGCTGCTACAAGGCTTAGAATTCCTAGGTGAAATCTTGAACTTGCAACATGAAGATGGTAATGTTCAAGAATGAAAGCACCAATGTTACGGATTCAAGAATCTGTAAAGGATAAAAGAAAGAAACTAACACAAGAACTTCATTATTCAGATATCCTTCTTTGTACATCAAGCTCCCTTTTATATCAGACTACACACAAGTCTACCTACACACTATCCAGGCTTCTGAGTAACTAACTCCGAACGTAATAGGCTCAACCAACTTTCTAACAACCCTCCTTATTTCACGCCATAGCTGTAACTGTATTTTCTCTAGCATTTGACCTATGCAATTTCCAACTAACTACTTACAGAGACACAGAACTCCATAATTGCTTTCACATTCCGTAACACACTGCTTGATGAATTGGATTAGTTGGTTGATTCTCGATCACATTTACTTGATTTAAAGTCAATTGTTTTTATTATGGCTGACAATTGTTGAGACATCACTTTGTTTTGTGGAAACGAGGTGTCATTGACATTTAGCTACAAGACTCCTTTCTTCACCGATGGCTTCTCTACATTTGCATTGGCTTGATATTCATTGGGAAGGCATGGTGTCCATTAGTTCTAGTTCTTCTTATGAGGTTTTATTGTTGATTGACATTAATCATCATTCAAAGATGTACAGATATTATCGTAGAAAATTTGCACTTTATGCCAATATTCAAAATGGTGATTTAGCCATCTTACAATGATATCCTTAAACCTTGCCCATTCTTACACATCTAGATCATATAAGTATGGTCCCGTGTAAGTCCATTGCCTAATAAACCAAAAGCAAAGGAAAGAACGCAGAATTCAATTAGTTAGAGATGGAAGGTGTGAAAGACACCACAAGCATGTGGATCAGGTGGTAATGAGTTGTTTCAGTTTAATTAGTAATTTTGAGTTCAAATTCTTAAAAATGCAACTGTGTTCCTACCCAGTTCAAATCGCACTAATCAATGAATCGAAGGATAATAAAAATAAAAAAAAAATGAGATGGAATCGGACTAGTCACTGAATCGAAGGATAATATAAAAAAAAAAGGTGAGATGGAAGGTGAAAGACAATCATAATAGGATTTGTGAATAGCAAAAGAGAGCTAAAGAAAGTAAAAAGAATGCGAAGAGATTTAAAGAGAGTTAAGAGTGGATCAATTAAAAACAAAAAATCACTATGCGTGAGGAAAGTGGGTGGAAGTAATTATGCTGTTAGAAAAGAGAGGAAACTAATTAAGGCTTTCAATGGGAGAGTTATGATACCCGGACACAAATTTTTGTAAATATGCGTGTCGGACGGTGATACGTTCTGACACGTGATCAATATTTTGAGACACGCGGTCAACTCTTTGACATGTTTCGATACGTTTTTTCGGCACACAGTCAACTTTTTTCTACATGCAGTCAACGCTCTGATACGTGTCCGACACGTTTTTTTTTAGTCTTCATTTTATTTTATTAACTAAAGATAAAAAAAAATTTATAAATCAATTTTTTCTGTTATGAAAAATTAACAAGGTACAATTTTTTTTTTTTATATTTACGTTATGAAATTTGAATATTTGATTGATTATATGACTTATTATGGATTGTGATATGTATTAAATTTAAATTATATTATATATTAAAATATTATTTAATATCAAAACGTGTCCCAACGTGTCGAAATATGACATTTTTTAAAATTAACGTTTTGGCGTGTCGTGTCACGTGTTCTGTGTCAGAGTCAGTGTAATCTAGTGGGAGAGTATTCGAAATGATTATTAAATAGGTTGTTTAAAATTTGGTAAGGAGCGCTTTGCCATGAAAGGGAATTAGTCATCTAAATTGGAGGGAACATCTATGGGAAATTAAAAAAAAAAAAAAAAGTTCTTTAAAACTTGGCAGGGAGCGCTTTGTTGTTCATGAGGTCTTATCCGGCTTAAATCAATTTAGTTAAGCAATTAATGACCCATAGATAATATCAAAAAAAATAAAATTCTTTAAAACATTTTTTCTAATGGACAAATAACATGTAATTAAAAGAAAATCATAACAAAAAAAAGCACAATCTTGACTTAAAACAAAAATAGGGTCTAATAAGCTATTAGGGTTGGTCTAAGTGTGAAGGGTTTGGTTTGGGTAGTAACATTTTATGTAATGGACTGATAACATAAAAGAAAACCGTAAAAAAAAAACACAAAACAAAAATAGAATTGAATAAGCTATTAGGATGGGTCTAACGGTGAGAGTTTGAATAATTTGTATGAGGGCGTAAATTCAAATCTTAGTGCTCCCATTATATATATATATATATATATATATATATATATATATATATATATATATATATATAATGGGAGCACTAAGATTTGAATTTACGCCCTCATACAATAATATATATATATATATATATATATTGGTTTATTTTTATTTTTTTTAGTTATTGCAGATAAGTTATTTGCAGTAAGCCCAATACGACATCGTTTTGGGGCAAAAATCATGGTGTTTTTGTAATTTTAATTTATTTCAGAGTTATTATAGTCTTTATAATTAAATTTTTTAATATTTCAATCCCAAAACGACGTCGTTTTGAGAAAAAATGCAGATAACTTATCTGCAGTAACTGCAAAAATATTTTTTTGTATATATATATAGGTTGGATCCTTTGACACCAGTGTCAAATTTAAAATTTGACACCTTATCTAAGAGCCGTTAGATGAAAAAAATTAATGGTGTCACATGCTTACAAATCAGAGTCGCTGGTTTTTTTTTTATCTAATAGCTCTCAGACGATGTGTCAAATTTAAAATTTGACACTGTTATCAAAGGATCATACTTCACACATATATATATATATATATATATATATATATATATATATATATATATATTCGAATTAGTTAAAACAGAAACAACGTCAAAAGCATAATGTGGCCCCAACTTACATAACTGATGGATAATATCCAAAAAGAAGAATAGAGTTTTCAAAAAATTAAATTATTTCCATGTCAAAGGAATAAACTCAACTAACCTCCTTCTATGACAATGATTTGTGGGAAAATCTAATTACTGACAAATTGAATCTTTATTGATTACAAATCAAATCAGAAAACATAAAATGACGATAAAAAAAATCAGAATTTCCTGCAAGAAAAGCACTTTAAATATTGGGTTCTATTTTTCTACTGTTGATGTAGATAAATTATCCACATTTAGTTCAAAATAATGTCATTTTAAGACAAAAAATATGATATTTTTGTAATTATAATTTATTTCAAGATTATAATATTCTTTTTTTAAATTTTTTAATCTAAAATAACATCATTTTAAGAATAAATATAAATAATTTATCTACATCACTATAAAAACATTAAAACCTTAAATATTAGAGAATAAAATTAAAAGACCATATATCATCATTGCAAATAAAGGATATTCTATTCAACATCATTCATATGTGTTTTTCTGGGGTACAATTTTCATGTGTTTTTTATGTTTGTCATTTTTTTTATGGGTTCGTTTTTTTTTTGTAGTTAATGTAGATAATTTATCTGTCATAAGTCTAATACGACGTCGTTTTAGGACAAAAATTATGATATTTTTGTAATTTTAATTTATTTTAAAATTATTATAGTCTTTATAATTATAATTATTTAATTTTTCAATCCCAAAATGACATAATTTTGAGAGTAAAAATAAATAAATTATCTGCAGTAACTGCAGAAATATTATTTATGTTTGTCATTTTTTTATACATATGTTTGTCATTTATATGTGTATTTTATATTTGTCAATTATTGTATTTGAATATATTATTTTTATTTATGTTTATGGTTAATTACTCGAGGAAAAACTATCATTGTCTTATAGATTAATTTTATTTCATTTTTTATTTATTTAAAAAAAAATAAAAACGAATATTTAAAATATATTAAGAAAGAGATAATAGAAATAGAGCACCCATTAACAAATCTATTAACTTTTAAAAAATTAAGGAATTTATATTATCTAATCCTAATTTAATTACATTGCAAAATTGGCAAAAAAAAGTATTATAATATGTTCATCTCAATTCTAATTTTTTTTACAGGGCATTAAATTTTTTTTCCCTAGACAACTAATTCCAGCGGATGTTGAACAAAACACCCTTTATTTGCAACGGTCATATATATCAATCAGCTTGTTAAGTTCGATATTATTTCTCACATCAAGCTTTTTTTTCATTTTTTTTATTGTTGTAAGGGAAAAGTTTAAAAAAAACTTTCCTATGATTTAATATTTTACCACTTACCCCTTTCATTGCTTATCTCTCTTGTGTGTTTTTTATTTTTTAAATTGTTCATAAGTGGAAAATGGATGAATTAGTACAATATTTAATAGCGTTAAAAGTCAACTTGGATGAAAAAACCATAAGGAAGATAAATTATAGAAAAAAAGTATAGGGGTTAAATAATTACGAAGCAAATCACATGGGACTTTTTAAATTTCCCCTTTAAATTAAGCATTAGGATAGCGAACGACTAAGGATTTGATTAATTTGTACGAGTTGGTTCTCGACATTAGCAGGAAAAGAAGAGACCCGAGAATTTCATTATTGGCCCATATTTACTTTCACACTCTTCTTTTCGGGAAAGAAGATTAAGGAAAGTCTATTAATTGCAGTTTTCTTTAGACCCCGAGAAAAGCATGAAAAACAGAACTAGGACGCACACATTCTCGGGAGACCCACTCCATGGTTATTAACAGTGTGGATGACAATCTTTTCGAAATTAATTTTTTTTAAATTTATGTTTTCGGGAATAGAAATGGATATAAAATTCCTGGTAAAATTAGTTTATTTTTTGTTCTCGAGATGAACCGATTTAATTTTTGTGATGGGGAACAGAGAAAAGAATAAAGAAATTCTGTTTTTTTGTTCTCGGGCATAAAATGAGAAACACTTGTTTCTCTCAATCACGCTTCACTACCATCACCATCATCACAACCACCATCATCCTGACACGACCACCGCCATCATCGTTGTTGCCGTGGTTGTACCATCAATGTCATCGCCACCACCACAACGATGTCACCGCCACTATCACCGCCACCATCACGAAGATGCCATCGCCACCACCTCCACCCATCACCACCATGCCACAATCATCATTACCACCGCCACCACTACCACCACCATCACTACCATCATTGACATTGCAGCCATTGCTGTCATCACCACCACCACCATCGTCATAGCCACCGCCACTGTCACTAACCACCACCACCTTCGTCGTTATAACAACCCTAATTTTATAATTTTGAAAGTAGAGGATTATTATGAAGACCTTAGGGTCATAAATTGAATGAGGATGTAATTCTAAGAAGTTTGATATCCTTATTGAAGGTATTTCACACAGATGGATTTTTATCTGTTATTTTTGACTGCTGATGCAGTACAGTCAGTAGAATAGCTCCAATTTGGCAAATTTGAGTTAGAAAGCTATTTTGATGATATGATTATCATTGATGAGGCTAATATATGATTTGATGAAGTTTGATACCCATATTGGGATATTTTGAAAAAGTCACTTTTGCCGGATATTTTGTACTCTGTAGCAGCAACCGCTAGAATCTCAGAACGATAAAAAGATGAGAAAATGGAAAGAAAGACCCATATATGCCTAACAAGTTATAATTAGACCAATAATGTTAAAATTAAGAAGATTATCAAATATGGGTACAGTTAAGAATACCGGTAAAGACTACAGTGCAATTAAGCAGCAGTAAGTGGATCGGTGATCTACTAATCAAAATTTTAAGTTATGAACATGATAATTAGACAAACTTAATATTAAAAACTTAAATTTTGAGTCTTGGAGGTTCCGGGTATAATAACCCTAATTATATGACTTTTAAATTAGAAGGTTATGATGAAGACCTTATGATCATAAATGGAATGATGATGAAATTCTAAAAATCTTGATATCCATATTGAGGGTATTTTACACAGGTGAATTTTCACCTGCTATTTTTGACTGCTGACGCAGTAACAGTTAGTAGAATAGCTCCAAGTAGTAAATTATAGTTAGAGAGCTAATCTAATGATATAAACATCATGAATGAGGTTAGTATATGATTTGATGAAGTTTGATATCGATATTGGAGTATTTTGGAAAAGTCACTTCTGCCGGGTATTTTGTACTGCTGTAGAAGCAGCCGGTAGAATCCCGGAACGAGAAAAAGATGAGAAAATGGAAATGAAGACCAATATATGCCTAATAATTCATAATTAGACCAATAATGTTAAAGTTAATAAGATTATGAAATCCGGGTACAGTTAAGAACACCGGTAAACACTACAGTGTAATTAAACGACTGTTAGTGGATCTGTGATCGACTAATCAAATTTTAAGTTATGAACATGATAATTAGACAAAATTAATGTTAAGTACTTAAAGTTATAGTCTTGGGAGTTTCTGGGTAAAAATTTGACAACGGTTCATATAAAAATTACACCGGGTCTCACTAAAGGATAAAGTGCCACTAAAGTGACATGGCAACCCTAATTAGGGCACCTTCTCCCTCCCTTCTTATTCTAATTCAGCGCCTCCCTTCTCCTCCCTCTCTCTAAAATTCAAATTCCAAAATTTGCTCTCACTTCTCTCTAGGATTTCTCCTCCAAAACCTCTCCAAATCACTAAACCACCGTCACATAGATTGTTCCCTTCACTCTCCTCTTCACAACCATACCATTTTCATGGTGTGAATTGTAAGAACCCGCACCGTTAATTTAGGAATTTAATTAAATTAAATATAAGATTAAAGAGATAATTCCCTAATTGACGTAAAATAAATATGGGAAGACTTGAATAATTATTATAAGGGCTTAATAATGTTGAAAGTCATTTTTCTGATGAAAAGTGAAGATACCGATTCTGCTTCACAGCATAAGAGCGTACCAATGAAGTATCTCGAAAAATTATAATAAGTATGTGAATATTCCTAGAATAATATATAGGACTGATATAACAAGTCTGGAGTCAAAATAATGAGAACTGGCGTCAGGACTGATACCGACTACGTAAAAGCGCGTACCGGCAAAGTGATGCGAAAATTATAATAAAAATATGATAAATCCTAGAAAAATGGCTAGATTCTGAATCCAAAGTTTGAGATTAAAAGGATTAGCGGAGCTATTAGTGCTAATATCGACGCTTATAACTTAATGAGACTATATATAGTGATTTGCACACTACCCTAGGATGATCCTTAGCTTCCTACGTGAATGTGGCTGCTGCATTTTCTCTCCAAGCTTGTCACCTTCCTCCCTTCCTCTTGTGAGCCAAAGTGATCACCTTTTTGTTCAAATTTCTTCATCTAATCACCATAACTTGGTGTGAGCAACCTTATGAGGGTGAGAGTTAGCCCATTTTTGAGTTACGGTCTCTGTTTAGTGGTGGTTTAGGGGCTGAGTTCTTGAGTTTCATGGAAGGAGCCATTGTCTTGGCATTTGGAGCTTCAAGAAGCAACCTTTGAAGAGAAAGAACCTTGCTTGATAGCCATTTTTGTGGACCTTTGAAGTCAGAACCTTGGGGCTGGTTTGAGAGCTCCAAGAGCACTTGTGGTTTCTGTTTTGAGCCTTTGGGGTATGTTCCTCACCTTTGATCATGAGTTTCCTTGTTAAAGATCAAGTCTTGGAATGAAAAATGATGGGATTAAGTAGCTAACATGATCACTGGTCTAAATGGGTTTAAAGATGCATGCTTTAACGTGTATATGTGTTAAAAATGGAACCTTGGTTGGATACCTTCGCGAAATGCAGAAACTGCATTCTGTCGCGGAATATCCGAATATGTTATCCGGATATTGATATCCGGATATGGGGTTGGTTATATCCGGATATGGCCCCGTGAAATATCTGAATATTCTGGAAATTTTGAGTTGGGTACTGTTCTGTTCATACATAATGGTATATTGGGTTTATGGACCCATGATTAGTTAATGTGAACCTCTGTAATAATTGAACTAAGTCAGAATCACTTAGATTAAGGACTTATGGCTTTGGGAGAAGCCTAAAGAGCAATAAATGAAAAAGAAAATGTTGTCATAACGAAATGAACCTTTAGAGTATGAATATTGATAATGTTTCTGTTATAAACAGACTGTGAGTGTGTTGCTTGTGGACCTTGGGCTAGTGTGGACTTTGGCTTGGGTTGTTAGCTGGCGAGGTAAGTTTTCGTGTCCTCTGTTTTTCCCATTATTGGTTACACCATACCTCATGGAGGGATGATTTATATGCATTATGTGTTTTGTGAAATTATGTGATGATTATTTGAAACGCTATTGAGCTGTTAAGTGCAAGTGCCTTATGATATGTATGTGGTGTACCACCTAGACGGTAAGCCTGAGTATGTGGAGACATACAAGATGGTGAATCTGTGGGTGAGGTACAAGTGGTGTTCCTTGTACTGTAGGTTGTAGACTTATGTAATCCCTACATGTTTATTCTCTGTCCAGTAGGATTATTACACACATGACATGATTATATACTGCATTGCACGGATTTGGAACTTATACTATTATATTGCTTTTTGAACTTATATTGCACATGCAAGTGAGCTTGGGGTGGAGAGATCTGTAACACCCCGTGTATACCCGGTAATGTTATCATACTATCGTATTAAGCTGCGCTTAATTAAAAATGCGGAATATCTTTTTCTTTTCAATTATGACGTCACTATACTTAGCCAAGTTGATTACTTAATCAATTTCATAAAATATTGTCTGTATGTAAATTGCAATAAGACATCTAACTGAAATACCTACAACGCTGAAAAGTACCTGGTGCGTTGCAAAGTCCAAAGGGCATCCGCCTGTATGCATATGTGCCAAAGGGGCATGTGAAGGTCGTCTTCTCCTGATCCTCAGGTGCAATGTGGATCTGGAAGTAGCCTGAGTATCCATCCAAAAAACAGTAGTGCGATTTACCAGCCAACCGCTCCAACATCTGATCAATAAATGGAAGAGGGTAGTGATCTTTGCGGGTTGCCTGGTTGAGCCTACGGTAGTCTATACATACTCTCCAACTGTTTTGAGCTCTTGTTGTGATCAGCTCATTATTTTGGTTGGCAATCACAGTGACTCCCGACTTTTTAGGGACCACCTGAACAGGACTCACCCATTGGCTATCAGAGATGGGGTAAATCATGCCAGCTTGCAAGAGTTTTGTTACTTCCTTCTTCACCATATCTAGAATCAGTGGGTTCAAACGCCTTTGGGGTTGTCTCACTGGTTTAGCTCCTTCTTCGAGTAGAATACGGTGCATGCATGTCGAAGGACTAATACCAATAATGTCAGCCATTGTCCACCCAATTGCCCTCTTATTTTCCTTCAGCAAGGTTAACAGTTTATCCTCCTGCTCAGGTAGAAGGTTCTTTGCCACAATGACTGGTAGCTGCTCATTCTCTTCAAGAAATGCATATTTCAAGTGGTCGGGCAGAACCTTCAACTCCAATTTCGGAGGCTGCTCAATGGATGGAAGAGGTGTAGTTGGTGGTGCAAATTCTGCAGAAAACAAGTCAGCAGCAATGCCTGTAAACAAATTCTCAGAAACAGGATTAGGATCATCAATAATATCAGCAGGCAATTCAGAAAATGCAGATTCACACTCATAATCAGAATCATCAATTAGTGCATCATTGAAACCAGAAAGATGAGATGTTATTTCATCACATACAATGCACTCTCGACTATCACCACAACCACAGAAATCAGAATCAAAATCAGTAGAAAACTCAGCAAGGAATGTAGCAGAAATATCCTCAACAACGTCATCTATCACATCTACGCAGAAGACAGAATGCTCTTCCCTGGGATGTTTCATTGCATCAAATATATTAAAATGCACAATGCTATCACCAAATTCCATGGAAAGAGTACCAGAATGAACATCTATCTTGGTCCTAGCTGTCCTCATGAAAGGCCTACCAAGTATGATTGGGGATCTATTAGTAGCAGTCTCACTCTCCATTTCTAAAATGTAGAAATCAGCAGGAAAAATCAGATTATTAATTCTGACTAATACATCCTCAATCAAACCAGATGGGTGAATACTACTCCTATTAGCTAACGTAACCACAATACCAGTGGCACGCAAAGGACCAAGACCAAGAGACTTAAACACAGATGCAGGCATAACATTGATGGAAGCTCCTAAGTCTAGCATGCAATCATGAAAAACAGAATTGCCAATCACGCAAGGGATAGTAAATGTCCCTGGATCTTGACACTTTTTAGGCATGGGCTGGATGAGTGCCGATACATTCTGACTCAGGTTAACCTGCTCATCTCCCTTCAGTCTCCTCTTGTTGGTGCACAGCTCCTTTAGAAACTTGGCATATCGCGGAATCTGCTGTATTGCATCCAAAAGAGGGATGTTCACCTCAACTTTCCGGAAGGTGTCAAGTATCTCTTTATCTTGAACCTTTGCTGACTGCTTCTTTGACTGAGTGGCTCTCTGAGGAAATGACAAAGGGATATGGACATCAGATGTATCAGTGCTCTGCTTCTTGGAGCTAGTGTCACCTCCATTGGATGTCTCAGCAGCAGTGTGGGTTGGCTCCTCCATTTGCTTTCCAGACCGCAAAGTAATAGCACTCACATTTCCGCTTCCTTTTGGATTTGGAACTGTTTGGGATGGAAGGGAGCTGCCACTTGCTTGTTGATTTTGATTTACTGACGTTGCAAGCTGGCCAATCTGTGTTTGCAGATTCTGAATAGAAGACTCAGTCCTCTGCTGGAACTGCAGATTGCTAGTGGCCATCTGTTTCATTAAGTCCTCCAAAGAAGGACCACTGCCACTGTTTTGCTGCTGCACTGGTGGTTGTTGTTGCAACTGTTGGGGAGCAGGTTGCTGGAAGTTTTGTCTCTGCTGTGGAATGAACTGCTGCTTCTGCTGGTATGGAAAATTTTGTTGACTTTGATATGGAACATTTTGCTGATTCTGGTTCCATCTGAGGTTGGGATGATTCTTCCAGCCAGGATTGTAAGTGTTGGAGAATGGATTATTTTGCTGCTGCTGGTACTGTTGTTGCTGCTGCTGTTGGTACTGTGGCTTTCCAGGAAAAATTGCAGCAACAGACTGATCATCTTGGAAATCGTTGTCTTGATGAAAGGAAGGACATGCATCCGTGGGGTGAGAAGGATCACAGCAGATGCCACACAAGTTGCTTATCTGTTGAGCAGAAGGTTGCACAGTCTGTGTCACTGCCAACTGCCTCACCATTGATGTCAGCTCATCAAGTCTGTTCTCCATTCTCTGGTTATCTGTGCTTGATGCTCCTGTTGCTGCTACTGTTGGATTTTGCATTGGAGGAGTTTGCACTTGGAAGACTGCACTGCTGTTGGCTCTAGTTCCAAATTGTTGAGCATTAGCAGCTATTTCAGCAATCAGCTCCTTGGCTTCATTAGGTGTTTTATTGCTCAGGACTCCTCCACTAGCTGCATCCAGAAGGTTCCTATCCATAGGCAGCAGCCCTTTATAGAAGTAAACAAGCAGGAGATTGTCTGGAATTTGATGGTGTGGGCAGCTTGAACAAAGCCTTTTAAATCGCTCCCAATACTCATGCATGTTCTCCCCATTAGCTTGCCTTATGCCACTGATCTCCTTTCTGATTGAAGTGGCCCTGGATGAAGGGAAGAATTTCTCCAGAAACAATCTGGCCATGTCATTCCAGCTTACAATGGAGGAAGGTGGCAGGTAGTACAACCAGTCCTTAGCTCCACTGTCCAAAGAGAAAGGGAAAGCACGCAGCTTGATTTGTTCCTCATCCACCCCTGTTGGCTTCATAGTGCTGCAGACTATATGAAATTCCTTCAGATATTTGTGGGGATCCTCACCTGCAAGACCATGAAACTTGGGCAGCAAGTGTATTAGTCCAGACTTAAGCTCAAAAGGTACAACAGGATTAGTATAACGAATACACAAGGGCTGCTCATTATCAACATTAGGAGCAGCCAATTGCTTAAGTGTTCTATCACCCATGATTTCAGAATCAAATAAATGACCAAACGAATAAACACTATGTAAAGGACTCGAACAAACAGACTCTAAGGTATGCTCAGGAACAACTCTACTGTAAGTCAACCTACGAGCTCTACTAGCAGCATGCAATGATCTATCTATCTCAGGGTCATATGCATATAAATCATCAACACTGGTATTACTCCTAGTCATGCATCATAGGCAAAGCATACAACAGTAAAATCACGAAACGTACGATAAGACACAAAAAAAAAAAAAATTAAATTTTTTTTTATTATTTTTTATTTTTTTTTCAGAAACGAAAATTAAAGAAAAAGAAGATGAAGATGAAAAAGAAGATGATCAAGAATCAGAAAACGATTTAGACCGATGCAATGTCCCCGGCAACGGCGCCAAATTTGACACGAGTTGTCGAACTCGCGCAAATTAAAAATTAATTCTTTAGGGTTCAGAAAATTTGCAGTAAAGTGGAAACCCTAAGTCGTCTCTCAAGGAAATTGTTTTGGTTAAAATCGCTTATGAGAACAGAAAATTAAAAGGGGGATTTTGGATTTTGATTCAATAATTAAAAAGGCAGAATATAAATTTGGAATAAATATTTGTAATTAAAAATAACCAACCTAAGGTTTGGGTTCCATGGACGTCTTTCCTCGGATAAGAAGATATCAGAATCGTGATTGATTTGTCAATCGGATCAGAATCCTTATTTCCAATTGACAACCCTCTCTAAGCGATCGCTTAGCATTTGATCAAAGACGATGCTTCTACTCATACAATCGCAGAGTATCAGCCCGCTTGATTTAAGGTCATAGGGTCAATCAACCTAATCATCAAATCTGATGATTAATCCCTTTCCATAATCGCAATCGCGAACCTCAGATTGAATATCCACGATCGCACGATATCAATCTGAGTTGGGAAGGGAAACAAAACTGATTTGAAATAAACGCAGATCCTCAAGACCAATCCATGGAATCCATTACCCTTAGGTTGATTAAAAGGTTCTTAGCCTCGCATGGCTAAGGTAAACATAATTGAAATAAAAAGAAGAAGAAGAAAAAAGATGAAGAACACAATTGAATAAAAACTCAGAGAGAACTTCTCTGTTGTAAAAACTGACTACCAAGGGTTTCCTAGAGTCCCCTTTAAATAGTCGTCACGCAGGACGGCTAGGGTTTCATCGCTTCAGCCCAAACATAAAATAAAAAAACCGAATAAAATAAAATGAAACAATAAAACTTGGCTTTGGGCCACTTAAGTAATTGGGTTTTAATTTAAATTACAAGCCCAATAGTCAAACAAAACTTCAGCAAAACGCGTCCAACTTGGTGTCCGAAATCGACCAGCTTCTAGTCCGAATTGGGCTTAGAGCTCTGCATAAGAATTGTAGCTCTCTGTGTTATCTGAAAAACCCAACAAGAACGGAGTCAATCCGACAACTATGGACCGAGATATGGCCAAAATACAGAAGTAACGTAAAGCTGAAAAATTCTGACGAAAATAAATTAAACCCAATTAAAAACTAAAAACCTAAATTAACTCTAACAATCATTATTTTATTCAAATAAATCCTAAAAATACTAATCAAGAGTAACAAATAAGTGTAACAAAATATGTGTTATCAGTACGGCTGGAAAATTCGGTTCATGTAATCCATGAACACAGCAGGTGCATTGGTGAGACCGAATGGAATCACCAAGTACTCAAAATGACCGTATCTCGAGCGAAATGCGGTCTTCGGGACATCCTCCGGCTTCACCCGAATCTGATGGTATCCGGACCGGAGATCAATCTGGGAATACACACAAGCACCCCTGAGCTGATCCAACAGATCATCAATCCGAGGAAGGGGATACTTGTTCTTGATTGTCACCTTGTTCAGCTGCCTGTAATTGGTGCACAATCGCATTGTTCCGTCCTTCTTCTTCACAAAGATAACCGGTGCTCCCCAAGGAGACACACTCGGTCTAATGAAATCTTTCGCTGAAAGATCCTCAATATGCTTCTTCAGCTCTGCCAACTCCGGTGGCGACATCCGGTATTGAGCTAAAGAAATCGGCCCCACACTAGGCAACAAATCTATGGAGAACTTTATCTCCCTCTGTGGTGAAAACTCAGGGATCTCCTTAGGAAACACCTCGAGGAACTCCCTCACCACAGGAATGCTGGTGATATCCTCCTGTGTACCACTCACCAAACCTCCCAACATGACATAACCAAATGCCCCTGCTCTCAAGGCTCTCCTAGCCTGCAGCAACGAAATGTACGACGAGGAACTGGCTGTGGAATCACACGGAGACAACACTACACGCTTGGCACAACAGTCAATCATCACACAATTTCTGGACAGCCAATCTATGCCCAGAATAACCTCCAAGTTGGCCATCGGCAATCCTATCAGATCCACCGAGAACTCACGGCCATCCCACTGAAACGCCACATTGCGATGAACAGTGGTAGCATCACATCTTTCTCCGGTGGCGGTGGTCACCCGCAGCGATGGAGAAAGCACAGACATGGGCAACTCAAGCCCCACAACAATCGGGGTAGCAACAAAAGAATGCGTAGCCCCAGAGTCAAACAAAACATCAACAGCTGATGTACCAATCGTAACAGTACCTCTGACAAGGTTCGGAGCTCGATCCGACTGCTAACGATCTAGAGTATAAACTCTCCCAGAAGATGGTGGCACGGCCGGTGCCGAAGTAGGTGGAAGGGGAACCATCTGAAGTGGCACTGCCTGCACAGCAGTAGCCCTCGTCGTCGCCGACAGACAGTCTCTGGAGAAGTGGCCCTCCTTGCCACACTGAAAGCAAATCAACTGGCCGGTAGAACACGGCCCAAAATGAGTCTTCCCGCATCCCGAACACCTGGGAGCAGGAGGTCTCACTGCACTCCCCGGAGCAGAAGTCCTCTTGAACTAATTCGGCGCCTGCCGAGCTGCCATCTGTTTACCCTTTCCCTTGTTTCCAAACTTCCTGTCTCGCCAAGAAGTGGAACTACCAGCTGCAACCTTCGTCGCCTCAGCAACCTTGGCCTTCTTGGCCTTACTCGAGCTGTAGTAATCTTCAATATCACGACACTACTGAACCAGTATCCCAAAATCTCTAGAAGCAGAACCAGCTAGGTAACCAGAAATATCCTCACTAAGTCCCCTGCGGAACTTAGCAGCCAGAAATGTAGGAGTAGGCCTCACCATCCTGAAGTGCGCAAACTTCACCAACTGGTTGAACTTGGCCTATGGAGCAAGGGGTAGATGTCTCACCCGACGTTTGGGGCACACATTTCAGGTTCAGGTAACGCTGGGGGTTGAGACCTCTAGCGGCAGGAGGCCGGAGCTGAGTTAGATGTTTGCTGTTATGATTATATGCTGGATGTTGTTATGTTATCTTTATGATTATGCTGTTATTGTTGAGACTGTTGTTGGGCCTTGTTGCCTTATTTGGTGAGCATGGGGATTGTCTATGCCACATGGGATTATGTTGTTGATTAGATTTGGGCTGTATAAACTATTAGGGCTGTCCGGCTTACGTGTAGTAGTGCCGTGACTAGAAACTCAGTTAATGATCTTAATTATGTTATGAGGTTATTTCAGTATATATGTCTATCTTTTGCATTTACATACAGACAATGTTTTGGAACTGAATTAAGTAATTCAACTTGGTAAGAATAATGACGTCATAATTGAAAAGAAAAAGAATATTTCGCATTTTTAATTAAGCGTGGCTTAATACGATGACATGTTAACAAACCGGGTTAACACGAGGTGTGTAAGAACCCGCACCGTTAAATAAGGAATTTAACTGATTACTTATGAGAAAATAGGAAATGATTCCATAATTGACCGTAATATTTATTAACAGGATTTAATAATTATAGTAAGTGATTCAGAATGCTGAAAGTCGCTTTTCGGAAAAAAATGCATATACCGGTTCTGCTAGTCAGTATAAATGTGTACCGAAAAAGTATCCTGGAAGATTATAATAAGTGCATGATAATTACTAGAATGATATGTAAGACTTGTAAAATGAGTTTCAAGTCAAAATAATAAGCGTAGCAATTAAAGTTAATATTGTGTGTTTAAGTGTGTTTGGGCTATAAATACTCTTATTTTGGGCACAAAACCCTAGGATCAGATTTCTATACATGAGTTTGGGGCTGACCATCTGCTGGTTACTGTTCCATTGGCCTTCCCTTCCATTTCTTGAGCCAAGTTGTGATCTTTCTTGATTTTCTTCACATTTCCTCCTTGTAAACACTTGGGGGTGGCTTTGTGAGGGTGAGAGATAGCTTTGTCTTGGTGTTCCAGCTACTGTGTTTGAGGGTGGTAGGCTGAGTTGGTGAGCTTGAGTTGGTTGAGCCTTTTTTAAGGCATTTTGAGCTACAGAGTATCACCTTTGGGGAAGAAAGAACTCATCTTGTTGAGCCATTTTCGTTTTCCTTGGAAGTCAGAAGTGTTGGAGCTGTTTGGAGAGCTCCAAGAGCCCTTGTCTTTCTGTTTTGAGCTTTGGTATGTTGTACCAACCTTTGATCATGAGTTTAATGCTTAAAGATGGAACCTTGATGCATGTAAAGGTTAAAAGATGATAACTTAATGTTGGGAAATGCTTAACACACTTAAAAATGCATGTTTAGGCTTCTGTAATTGATAAAAATGGAACCTTGGAAGGATATCTTCGCGAAATGTAGAAACTGCATTCTGTCGCGAAATATCCGGATATTTGCCCGTGAAATATCCGGATATGGGAATTTGGATATCCGGATATTGATATCCGGATATTTCCAGAGAAATATCAGGATATTCTGGGATTTCGAAGAATAATAGTTGTGTTGTGTGTACAGTAGGCTATTGGGGGTTTGTGGACCCTAGATTGATGAAGTTGAACTTCTATAATTATTGAACTAAGTCAGAATCATGTGATTAAGGGCTTGTGGCTTCGTTGGAAGCCTTAAGACGTAAAACGTTAAAGGAGAACGTAGTCTTTATGTTAATGCTTTTGAGCTATGTTTGTTGATACACTTGCTGGTCCTAAATCAGATTGTGATCTACTGTGTGTTGGACTTGAGCTATGAGGACTTTTGGCATTGGATAGTGAGCTTGCAAGGTAAGCTTTCGTGTCCTCGGTTTAGCCATGTTGTGGTTCCACCATGTCCCATGGGGGTATGGTTATATGCATGCTGTGTTACATGCTTTTGATGTTTTGGAAATGCTGTTGAGATGTTATATGCTAGTGCCTTTATGATATGCATGTGGTGTTCCACCTATACGGTAAGCCTGAGTATGTGGTACATACAAGATGGTGAGGCTGTGGGTGAGGTGCAAGCGGTGTTCCTTGTACTACATGTAGGTATAGACGTATTCCTGCATTTCTCTGACCAGTAGATAGTGATAAACACACATTGCATGAATATCTGTTGCACTGTATAGTTTTGGAACTGATATTGATATAAATGCTTTTAGAACTTATATTGCACATATAAGTGAGTTTGGGGTGGAAGATCCTTGAGGACCCCTTGTCTTACTGAGATTTCTTGTTTAAAGATCTCACCCCACGTTTGGGGAATGCTTATTTCAGGGTCAGGTAATGTTGAGACCTCAGGCGGCAGGAGGCCGGAGCTGAGTTAGATATTGATGATATTATATGCTGACTTGTTGGATGCTGGATATGCATGCTGTTTTTATGCTTTGAGCTTCATTTTATGTTTATGACTATCTTGTTGAGAGTTGAGACACTGTTGATTTGGTGAGCATGGGGATTGTCCATGACACATAGACTAGTTATGTCTTAGTTTGATTTGGAGTTGTAATAATGTATCAGGATATTTTCCGGACTACGTGATGTAGATCTGTGATTTAGATACTCACTTTATTTATATATTGAGGTATTTCAGTATATGTCTTATTGCAATTTACATTCAGGCGATATTTTATGAAATTGATTAAGTAATCAAGTTGGTAATTGATAATGACGTCATAATTGAAAAGAAAAAGAATATTCCGCATTTTAATTAAGCGTAGCTTAATACGATGTAATGATAACACTATACCGGATATATACGAGGTGTTACAGGGTGTTACATGCCACACAAGACGGTTTCCTTGTGTGAGGCATACCTTGTTGTATACTGCATAAGATGGTTTTCTAATACTTTGTATAAGATGGTTTCCTTATACTTTGTATGTTACAAGATGGTTTTCTTGCGTAATGAATACTTTATGTTTTCTCTGGCCAGTAGAACTATTTGTAATATGGGTTTTCCAATGATGGCTGATGGACCAGATGAATGGCTTGACACTGGTGATGTTGGAGCATCACGAGGCAAGAGACCGTCATTGTGATTTATTTCTTGGCATGATCATTTTGGTGTAGTGTGAGACTGTGATGATCATTTTGCTATACATATTCTCACATGATGATTATGCATTTATGAAGAGCATGATGTGTACCTAAGCATATTTTGTATATAATTGTATATTCTGTTTAGAGGAACACACATAGGGTGTTATTATTATGATCATTCGAATGGCATGGTGCATTGAGAGACCATTATGAGATGTCACTTTGAGATGCATGTATATGGACTTTATGTAAACCTTTAAGTATTTATGATGTTGTCAAGGTTGAATCAATGAGATTACTTAGTATTTATTATCTCATGTTACCTTTTTTGAAAATTATGTATAATTATACAATGATTATAAAGTAAAGGCACAAAGCCCATTATGTACAATCCATGGATGGGTTCTAGGTTGGACTAGTTGATAGTTGAATTTTTTTTTTTTTTTTGATAACAGATAGTTGAATTTCATGTATGAAATTGGATAACTCTCTATTAGGTACATTTTGCTAACGAGGGAAAATCCCTAATGTCTCCAAATACAAACGAGATGTTGTTTGTTTTATTCTAAAAAGATGTGAGTGCAAGAAAGTATCATATAGTTTTGCTTGGTCACAAAATAAATGGTACAATGCAATACATTAGGAAATTGAAAAAATTTATTCACGTTTTGGCATAAGTCTAAATGTGATTCAATATGTTTAGCTTCTGCATTTATTTGATTAAAATATATTGCGCTTAATACCATATGCATTATAGTACACTAGCGGCCGACTGGGTGTTACACTTTGTACCCAAAAGTCCTCTCCATTATGCTAGCCGAATATAAAGGTAACTACGAAATAATCAAAGTTAAAGTAAGTAAAAAGAAAATGATTAAATAGAAAAAAAAAAGAGAAAGGTAAAAGAATCATTTGAGCTGAATCGTCACGCGAGCGAAATCGTGCTGATAACGTGTTGTAAAATAAAAGATATAGTAAACACTCTTTTTGGTCCCTGGCAATATCTACGAAATCCTTTTTAGTCTCTGGCAATAAAAAAGGACCAATTTGGTCCTTAACAGTATGTAAAAAGGGCCACGTTAGTGATGGAGGAGTTGACATAAGGACTAATGTGGCCCTTTTTGCATAATTTTAGGGACCAATTTGGTCCTTTTTTATTGCCAGGGACTAAAAAGGATTTCGTAGATATTGCCAGGGACCAAAAAAGGTGTTTACTCTAAAAGATAATTAGGAGAAAAATATAGAGATAAGAGAGAGATATGAGAATGTATTCTTCGTGTATTATGGTTTGCCTTGAAGCTTTGTACGTGTCTATCTTTATAGGCTCACAAGACAAGGTATGTCACAATAGGATAAATGACCAGTATTGCACTTCATCAGTGGTTACAATTTGGGATTAAATATCCAATGGTCATACCAACAGTCATATCCAAAAGTCATATCCAATAGTCATATTATTTTGGGGTTATGGATATCCAATAGTCATTATATTTATAACAACTTCTAAATAAATTTTTATCACGTGTAACCCCACATAATCTTTGAATAGTAAATTTAAAATATTTTTATAATACTATTCAATTTTGTAAAAAAATATTTCTGCCTTCAATTTTATCTTATACTTCGTCAATAAGTTTGAATATTAATAACTTGAAAATGTTAACATGTTATTGAGTATAAATGTATAAAGAATCTTTTTCATACCTACAATCTTTGTACATTCACTTTCTAACCCTCTGAATAAAAGAGACAGGGGTCTTTGGCCTGGCCTGTCCTGCCTTGTCTATTTTGGTTGTTGGATACAAACTTGGATTTGTGTAAAAGTTTATTTAATAAAAAGGTCTTAGACTTCAATTCAAAAACCTGGCCTTAGAGCCTATCAAGCTGGCCTGGTATACTAATTATTTATTTTATTTTATTGTTTTTATACTACTAATTTATATCTTATGATATTATAACTGAATGTCAAAAATAATCTGAATGTTTTTTTATGTAGGAGGAGGCAACATCGCAATATATTAAATTATTGATATCAATATATTAAATTGTTTATGCAGAATTTAGTCTTTTGTTCTTTTTGATATGCAAAATTTATTACTACTTTAGTTTATTAGTTAAGCAGATTTTTTGAATGATTTTGTTCTACATTATGCTGTTTGAATATACATTGAATTTATGAATCTTTGTGAAATTATTAATGTTGTTAATCGTATATTTTGTTTAGATAAATTTTTATTGTTATATATTTTTTTAATAGGCTAACAATCTAAGCTAGACTTTTATATTTTATAAATAAGTCAGGCCACAAACGATAATTATATTCATAACAGATTACGGACTAAGCCAGTCTAACAAATTTAAACATATGCTTAACATTTTTAGACCAAAGTCTAGCCCGTCCCAACCCATTAATACCCCCTACCTTTGAATATCAAAATATAATACTCTTTGAAATTATAGCTGATTAAATAATATAATTTGAAAAAATAATATAATTTAACTATTTTTAACCATTCAACCCCATAAATATGATCTGATCCTAAACCTTTACTCACTTTCTCATTTTTTAAATTATATTATTTTAATAATTTCTTTTTTCAATTATACTATATTCATCTATCAGCATACATATAGTATATCTTTCAAAAAACTAAATTTTTCTGACACTGCTTCCAATTATATCATGACATTAATTGCCAGCAAATATTTGGCCCATTAATGAAAAGCATTTATACAATATATCTTTGACCCATCTATATTATTCTAAAGTAAAATCGTTTATTGAAAACTTTGATGATGTGTCGCATTCTCCTTGAATCTGAGGTTTGTGTTCACACTTAAAGGAATTTGAAATGTTTCCTGTTATAGTAACTTTTTAAATTGTTTTTTAGGCTTATAATTTTTAAAAAATAAATTGAAAACCGATTAAAAAAATAATTTTTGACACACATAATTAGATTTCCACTATCTCTTTATTGGAAGCTGCGAAAGTTGGAAGCTGCAACAATTTATTGAATCTTATTGGGAGCTGAAAAGTTTTTTAAATTATTGAATCTTATTGGGAGTTGAGAAGTTTTTCAGAGTTATGCCTTAGTGGAAACTGATAGGTTTTTTTGCAATAATTTTTTTTTCAAATCTTTAATACGCAAAATTAAGTTTAATTTACGAAATTATTTTGTGTATAAATAAGATATGTTTCTGTCGCATTCTCCTTGAATCTGAGGTTTGTGTTCACACTTAAAGGAATTTGAAATGTTTCCTGTTATAGTAACTTTTTAAATTGTTTTTTAGGCTTATAATTTTAAAAAAATAAATTGAAAACCGATTAAAAAAATAATTTTTGACACACATAATTAGATTTCCACTATCTCTTTATTGGAAGCTGCGAAAGTTGGAAGCTGCAACAATTTATTGAATCTTATTGGGAGCTGAAAAGTTTTTTAAATTATTGAATCTTATTGGGAGTTGAGAAGTTTTTCAGAGTTATGCCTTAGTGGAAACTGATAGGTTTTTTTGCAATAATTTCTTTTTCAAATCTTTAATACGCAAAATTAAGTTTAATTTACGAAATTATTTTGTGTATAAATAAGATATGTTTCTGGATATTTTCCTGTGCTAATCGTGCACATATTTTTTCCATTCTCTGTCTTTTTATCTTCTTCGTCTTCTAATATTGTGCTAACTAACGCTCTGGCAAACAACTCTTCTCCACCTTGCAATCATAGGGCTTCGAACAACATCTTGGAATCGTAAGCGCCGGATCGGTCGCTCTCACTCTGAAATCCTCAAGGATCTCGAAGCTTCTCATTCGCGTCTCCACAAGCATTTCAAGGTTTCTTCTTCTCACGCTTTCTTGCTCTCCTTGGTTGCATCAGTTCAATAGGGTTTGTGAAATTCTTTGTGTGTGGTTACTGATGACAAATTTTTGATGGAATCTTTTTTGTAGGGTTGAACCCCTAATAGAAGATATATTGCATGAGAGTTGAACCCCCAAGTCCGACGACATCGTTGAACTCCCTCTCTTCCCTCTCCCTCTGGTCCTTTTCCCCGTCGCCATTCTTCCTCTCCAGATCTTCGAGTTATGGTACCGGATAATGATGCACATAGATCTCATCTTCAATGCTCTCTATAGCAATGTTGTTTCGCGAATAAATGATATTGTAATTTGATGATTCATGTTTTGGGTATTGGGGTATTTCTTTTTTCTTTTTCTTGTGTGTTTGTAAGTTGTGAGTTATTGGTTTTATACTTGCTGTAAACTTTGATTACGCCAGAGTTTTGTCTTCCTTCACTTTCATGTTTACACAAAAGCAACCGATTTGCTACAAAAATTATCATTAGATACTCAGCCCAAGGCCTGGGAAATTCCCGAGCCTGCCAAGAAGGTAAATTTTTTGGTTTTTATGTGAATCACTATTCATGATTGAACTTCATCCCTCTTGATGTTAGTGTAGCATTTGAAACATTATAAATTAGCAGCTGAGAATAAAATGAGATCTTTTTACCTGGCTATATGCATTTTCAGTTCTTTCCGTGGTATTAAATTAATTTTTCAAATTCCGTGTAGGCTACTATAGCAATCAATATGGTTCAATTGAATGGCCAGATCCCTCCATATGAACGGTCTGTAACCCAAGTGTTACAAGATTTCATTGATCCCAACATGTGTTATCTTCCGAATGGTTACCCGTCCACTGCCTATTATTACGGTGGTAAGTAATCTGATCTTTTTTTCCCCAAAGGCAACTTAGAGGAAAATCTACATGGTAATGTTTCAGTGGTTTTTTGCTTTCCCTTTTCACCCATCATTTGAATTGCTGGAAGATGGAAATGATGCTAATATGAATTTTGAAATGAATGTAGGAAAGAACAAGGATGGATCTATCTTAACATGGGAAATGAGATTTAATATAGCTGTTGGGATCGCAGAAGCCCTTGATTACCTACACGGGGAAGCTTTGAAGCCTGTTATACATAGA